TTTTGATATTGTTTTTTTCTGTTGTTGTTGTAAATTTTCTGTAAAGGTTTGTGGGTCATGCAATGACATCAGAGGACATGGCATCATTACAGGATGTTTATGAGGAGTTGAGAGCTCCCAAGGCATGCAAGGCATCTTACCAGTTGCAGTTTCTGTGGCATGACCTCACTAGTGACTTTGATGTCATTGGACCTTACTACAGCAGCCAGAAGGGAATGGAAAGCAAATTTATAATATCATGCCTGATGGCCAGCATCCATGCTTTCCATATCCACGGGTTTAAAACCATGGTAGTAGTCTGTGATGGTGCCAGTGCCAATTTAAAGGCAGTGAAGTATCTCACAACCCTGCGAAGTGGGGCATATGGCATCAATGATGACCCTGATGTTGATGAACCACACCATGTCAAGCCATATAATATTGTACATAAGGTCTTATTTTTTTAACTGGACCTTGAGTTTTTCCCTTAGCATTACTTGTCGATCTGGGTGTTAACTCTCAGGACAGTTAAAAAGGCTCTCTTAGTGTGATTGTCATTTTTGACATGTTGCTCTGCAACCTGCAATAGACAAGTACCATTAACATTAAGATGAATAAAATTTAAAAAGTACAAAATATATGTGCATCTTCTGACATTCTGGTCTTTAATAAGCTTTCTTGTGACCACTTCTCTCTTGGTTCCCCTTTTGAGGTTTCTGTTCTCGACTCCACTCCCAGTGTTTGAGCAAAACCCTGATGAAGTTTCCAGTCCCCCAAGAAAGTGCATAGATTATAAAAATACTTACAAATGAAATAAAACCTCAGTCATTTCCAGGACTACTTTTATTTTTGAAGTCACAAAGCAAAGGTCAAATTGCTTTTCAGATTAAAGAATTCACTCTCAGGACATTGAATTGCTACTGCAGCGACATTTGTTTCTGCCTTACCTAATTTACACAATGTAAATTACGCACACAGACCAAAACGCTATTCATTCATTATGATTTGGTTATAACTTTCCTCAACACAATCCTGATGGTCTCTTTGCCAGCCTATTAGATGTTGATAACAGAATAACTATTTCAAAACAAAACCAAAACCATGGATCAGCTGTAGCCCTGGGTACAATTGCAAACTTGAAACAGAAGTATTTGATAATTAAGAAACATCTCTGAACAGGTAAGTGCATCAAGTAAACCGTACGACTACAAAGCTAGAAAATGATGTAGATCTGATAAACGAAAGGTTTGATACTGACCTTGAAGAGCTTGTTACCAAGCAAGTTGTAGCCCTCATGGTTTACCACGTCTGAAAAAACTTTCGAGAATGACTCGAGAAAGGGAATACATTCAAACTTTAAAACAAACAAGTTCCCTTCATCCAAACTTTTAATGAACCCGGGCAAACTTTCTTTCTTCTTGTCCTCCATAACATCGATGGCTGCAATCTGCTTGACAAGGATGTTCCTGACAGATTGGGTGGACTTTCGACTACTCATTGTACTGAGGACTTTGCGAAGCCGTTTTCGAAGACTCACAGCCGCAGCAGACCCAAGCTTTAACAGCGAAACCTTATCTTCTGACCTACATGGATACTGCCTAACCTCGGACATTTTTGCTTTCCCATTTCCCTGAACTCCCATGACATACTGCAAATTAACATTCCACAAACTTTCCAGATAACACGAAACAATCGACCGTACAATATCACCATCTTTGCCACTGTCTTCAACTATCTTCCTAACTTCCTCGCTGCCTAATAACTCCCTAACATACTCGTACCACCTAACCTGAAGCACCGCGTATTTGTCCCGGGAGAACTTCACCTTTTCACTGAATAAATCAAAAAATCTCTCACTTGACCTTTTTATTACTAAAACCAGACTACTACAACGTTTTATCGATTCAAACTCGCCTGCACGAGAGTCCAGATAAACCTTGAAGGTTTCTGCCAACTCACCAGAAACTCTTTCAAATACAACTTCCTCTCTCAATTCTTTTCCCGAGGCACAAATCTTCCTTATGTTCATAACCGGGAGCTTCTTCGCTTTAGACGCCATTTTGAACAGGTTTGTTTTGCGAGAGATTCACGCGAGGAGTTCGCGAAGAGCGCGCTATGCAGAATTTCCTTATATGGGCAAAAATTAGAAGAGTGATTTTCATTGGTCGGGAATAATCGGCAGCATAGTTTAAAACAGATAAGGGAAGTTAAACGCTTCTAGGTGATATTCTTCTGACGGAACTTGATATAGTGCACGGGTCATTTTGCAATTTATGTGCGTTGGCTGTTGGGCTGGCGTTACATATCTTCGCTACACAGTGCTGACGAGCCCCAAGAAGGGCGAAACAGCYGTCCACTGTTGCGATCCTACTTTATCGGTTCTTGTCATGTTGGTGTCTCGAAACGTTTTTCACGTAGTATCAGCCTTGCAGTCTATTGCTTGTCTTCATAAAATATGCAAATAAGATGACTGATGATGTCATACACTCGACCCAATATTATATCTTGTATTTAAATAGAGGTATCTTGGCCAATTTACAACAAAGACCATTGAAACTTGGTAGGCTAATAGTTCTACAGGAAACACACCTACGGTTATATAACATTCTGTTCCAATGCAACTCACTCTTTTCCAGTGCCCACCCACTTGATTTCAAAATGTTAGTGATTTTCAGCTCGAAAAACGTTAAACGAGGCGATGAACTCGAGCTAACAGAAATTTATGCTTGCTGGATCATGCATATGAGGCACCATTAGCAAATATCAAAATGGAATGCCAAAGGTGGGCAGAAAAGCCTTTAATATTGGGGAGGTCTGGAACCCAGTATGTTACCATGGTAACAAAACTGTTAAGTTCGTATTGTGGAGCACATTTAGTAGAATCTTACTGCAAARTAAGTATCAAACATTTCTGATACAAATTGGCTGAGATATCTTTCTTCATCATATTTGATCAAAATTTGGTTGAGTGTATGACGTCATCACTTAGCTAATTTGCATATTTAAAAACTTGAATATCTCTGGAACGAAAAGAGATATTTGAAAATAGTAAACAGCATTTTTCTTCTGATACAGACTTCTTGTTTATGTTTTAAGATGGCTTAGATAGGAAAGGTGCGATTTTCGTCATAGTACCACTTTAAGTAATCTGAACTGACATAAGTTCAAAATCAGTCCAACTCCAACATCAAAACAAAAAGTTAACGACAAATTTCACTAAATTCTTACATGGAGCGAAGTAACTCTTGTATGGAGCGAAGTGACTTCGATTATGGAGCGAAGTGACTCTTGGTTGGGGCGAACTGACTGGGGGCGAAATGACCGTAATTCGAGGCTCCCCATAAGATACATGATCCGCATTTTGATTTCTTTTCTCACGTAGAAAGAGCGTATTTGTTTGCTCGAAGTCGTTTTATCTATTTCTGAACGAAAAGGTGCTCCTTTTCCAGTATAAGTGCTGTATTGAAACGAGATTTTCAAGATGTTCATCCCAAGAATTTGCTGGCTTTACGGTAATTGTTTGGTTACAACTCTCTGAAAATGTCGGCATTACCTATTAACGCGTAAAGGGAAATCTCTGGTTTTTTCTCATTATGTGACTCCTATCAAGCCAAGATAACACAGGTAATAAGGATCCTTTTTATATGTGAGAAATTCCCTTCACTCTTGTGTTTATTTTTCTTTTTTCCCGATATTTTAAGATCGTGTGACCGCAAGTTTGTTTTTCGCTTCTGACGTCGTAAATGTCATCGTAGCTTAAAGGAAAAAGGAGCTGTCACAAAAGCCAAATCTTTGTTTGTGGGGGGCTTGGAAATTTCCCCCAAAAAATCTTCGCACAGAAAAAATGCCCAGACTTCTTGCCACAAAAATTCAATGGCCCGAGGCTGTTCAGATAGTCCATGACAAGAGACCATGATCACCTCATTTTCTCTTGTCCATAATTGATAAGCCCACCTTCTTAGAAAACCATCCGCGTTAAGGCCGCTAGGCCTCTTGTTATTATTATTCTCCTTGTGCTGAAAAAGAAATGTTCATTATGCCGGGATTATGCTCGATGCTCCGAAAAATTACCCCGGCATGATAAATCTGTACCTCAAGCTCAACCCCACCCAACATTCGGAATATTTTGGGACGCCTGCGAACGAGGCAGGGTCTTCATTACAATTTTGTTCCTGGGCCCTGTTATTTGAGGGCCTGGATAGGTTTTTTTTTTTTCAACTCTCGCGCGCCGATTCAGGGGTCGACCTCGATGATTTTACCGTTCACCTGGATTAATTGGCCGAAGAATTTATTAAACGAGTTAAACTATTCGGGTCGATTCCAAGGTCGGATCACGTCAACACAGATTTGAATGATGATATTTTGACATGAGTATCTTTCCCGCCAGCTGAGACAATGGATTTGTCACAAAAGCAGCATAGCAGTTTACCGAGTCCTATAGTTCAGGCTTCTTTCCTTTCACGTTTGACATTTTGGTAATCATATTGTTTTGTTTCACTATTAATTAAGGAGCAGATCTAGCTGAAGTTTATTGAAGTAATCTGATATTAAGCTTACATGTATGTAATGGTCCTGTATGACGAATTTCACAGCCGGTAAAAGAAAGCTTACATTAATATTTTCATATTCGGTTTAATTTTCTTAATTTCACAAGCATAATGGTAATAACTATTTGCATTAGCATAATGGTAAGAAGTGCCTAGCCTAACTGCACAGCTAGAGCTCGTGCGTAATAATTTAGAGTACCTAAGCCACTACATTCCATGCGCGTGTACGATATGTAGTACTTGTAAGCTTATAATTTGATCCTTCATGTTTTCCGCTTTGTGAGAACGTCTCCGTGGCGCACACGTGTTAAATGAATAAAATTAGGTCACTCAGCTAATCAAACATTACTTTAAAGTATCTTTTGAAGTAATTAACGTGACTTAGTAGTAATATAAAACGTGATCATGCAGCGCAATATGAACCTGACAAACAATAGCCACCAGTTGGCGCGAAAATATGCAAGGACATAACTGCTCCCAGAAGCGAACAGTTTTCCGTGAGCGAAGCTTGATGAAAATTGTGAGTTTTGAGGAACAGACAATGCCCATGGAGAATATCCAAGCATATTTTTACTATCAAAAATGTTTTTGCTGTGTCTATAAGTCCATCAGCTGGACAGGTTTTACAAAATACCCATGTCCAGCAGTCAAAATTATTTTTATTTTCACTTAATGATATCAAATCCTTGTTTATATGGCTGAATACTTCACTATTTCCACCATAGTGTGAATTTTGGTGAGCCTGGCACCTGGTATACCGAGATTTATAACATAGCCTAAAGGTGCGGTAATACAGGCAACATTTTTCTTCAACTTGTCTCGCAACATTGTTGCATTGCAAGTTGAAACACATTGTTGCGCGTATTACCACGTTTGTGACCAACTTGTCTCGCAGCAAGATACAGTGTTGCAAGTTGAGGCAAAGTAGACTCGAGTTCTACTTTCTGCAACAAATTTTAGTTTTGCAGCTCATATTACAACTGAAGCTACAACTTGTCTTGCAACAAATTTGAATTCAACACTTGTGATTGGATGTCGCGAAGCTTGGCAACACAGCAAATAAAAAAAAAACATGGCGGACGGTGAAGACGAGCGTGAATTTGAGGTAGACCAGAGGGCTATCATAGTCTTTGGGACACCTCCTTTGTCCCTTCAAAACAAGCAGGAAAAAAGGCAAAAGGCCTGGAAGAACTGTTGCAAAAATACCACTTTTCGCCTAGCTACCTGAAACGACACTGAGCTTCATACTGACAGAACTTCGCTGGCACGGAAAATTAAGAAGAAAATGACAGCCAGAGGATGAACTGGAACTTTGTCGAAGTGCTAAATTATATTAAAGAAAGCACCCTCTTTATTTACACACGATTGACCAATTATACCTGGAGAATTCTGCAGACTTGCAACACTATATTTTACTGCGAGACAAGTTGGTCACAAACGTGGTAATACGTGCAAGAATGTGTTTCAACTTGCTATGCAACAGTGTTGCGAGACAAGTTGAAGAAAAATGTTGCCCGTATTACTGGACCTTAAATGACCAGCCGTCACTTTTTTGTAGTTTAGGCTAAATGGCACTTAGGTTAGCCTAAAAAGCACTCCGGTTAGCCTAAAAAGCACTCCAGTTAGCCTGAATAGCTCTCTGGTTAGTCTTTCTACAGTTGGCCCTCAATAATGTTAAGGGTAACACTATATATACTAAAAAAATTCCGAAAGCTGCAGGCCAGTTACCGTGGCGCAGTGGTCATGAGCATCGCTTGCCATGTGGGCGACCCAGGCTCGATTCCTCTTGGGGTCGTCTGTCACAGTGTTCTTTTAATGTTGTTTTACTTTATAAAAAATCTCTAAGTCTCACTGCTGGACATGGAGTATTTTAAAAGACCTGTCCAGCTGCCGGACATATAGCCACAGCGAAGATTTTTTTTTGCAGTAGGCAGGATCTTTTGATAACGGGGGAATATCCTTTGCATATTCCCTACTTTTAGCTGGTGTATATCTGTATGTGATGTGTTTAGAGCAATCATATGCAAGTGAAATGTTTGGTAGATGATAATTCAATGCCTGCACTATCTGTGTTTTGTTTCTTCATTAACGACACAGTGTATTGATGATTTTAGTCTTTCATAGTTAGAAAAGTATGTTAGAAGAAGTAATGATGCAAAGAACCCTGCGATTCTCAGGTTTTCTTTGTCCCAGAAAAAAAACCATTTAAATGCAGTGCCTGCATAGAAAGTAAAAAAAAAACTGTGTCGGAATGCTATGAATGCTTTCTCGAAAATATGCCTATTTCGCGTGAATTACTTGTTAGAATTTCACGAAATTTGGAGTATTGAAAAAAAAATTGAAACCTAACAGAGGAAATTCTATATATTCCAGTTATCTTTCATCAAGGATAATTAAAAAAAACTATATTAAGCTATTATTATAAAATAGTGTTAACATGTGAGCGCTTACAAAATTGTTGCATGCGTTATGATGAAGGAAATCTAGTGAATAGATTTTCTGCAAATGAACAAAACTGAATTTAAAGTCCTGTTTATATTTATCCACGTTGCCATGGCAATGGCACATATGCAAGGTAAACTATCAAAAAGTCTGTGTTGTTACCTTGCATCTTGTCATTTTTGGCAACCAAAGTGTCAACGGTCTTAGAAAAATGTTGAATGGAACACAGATATCAACAACTGTATTTTGCCACCTTGATAGTGGTTGAGCCCAGAGGGAGGGGGCTCCTGGAAAATTTGTACTCATTGAGAGTCTTGTCCTTTGTCAGACCAAAGTATATGATTTTTCCTAACCCTGTTTCAGAGGTGAGCCAAAAATCGATACCCTGTTTCAGACTACATTCACCCTGGAACTGCATGCTTTGCATAAATTTTTGTTGAGAGCTTCACATTTCTCCTGATGCCAGCTATAGCTGCCGGTAAATCACACAACTTAAGAGATGAACAATAATGATGCTAAAAATAGTTTTAAGAATTATAGTTATTGTTGACCAAAATGCACAAACCATATCCTATTTTAGACCAAAAGGTCTATCATTTTTAAACGTAAAATGGAAACCTTCCTGTTAAATCGATTTTTAATGTCATAAATTTTATATGTAAACAGTTTTTCAATAATTGTTTATCGATAATGTTTGAGTATTTTTTTTAATTATCTTTATCATTGTCTCTGAAAAGCCCCCATGGGGAGTTGACAATAAAATTTGTATTGTATTGTAAAACAGTCTACATACACTTTCAGCTGTAGTTAACATTAGGTCGACTGACAATTTCTGCTTTTCTTCTATACCAAAAGAGGACGTATGGTTGAATCTTATGTAACTGGACAGTGCTGGTACTAGACAAAGTGTCCAACACTTAGGAGAGGTGTTAATTTGACGAGGGTTTAAAAAGTAGTTGGGATCTTGGTGAAGTTTTTACCAACAAACTTGTAAGAAGTTATACCTGCAGATGAACATGCTGATCTTTGTTTTATAATATGTAACGTAAAAGGTTGTTTTTCATTTGACAGATTGTACTATTGTTATGGTAACCAAAAATTGTCCTAATGACTTATGATTAAGCATTTGTGTGATACTCGGGTGTTAGATTTTCTTGGGGTTAATAATTTGGGTTTTCCTCCAGGTGGCTGAATGGATTGTTTAGTAAAGGATATGACAGGCGTTTGGAACCTCATGACATGTACCAAGTACTTCAGGAAGACCTGGCAGAAAAGCTGGTAGCGGATTTGGAGAGGTTAGTAGAAAAGTGTAACATGGTTAAATTGTACCTGTTGTAAAATGTGACACTAATTAACTTTTTCTTTCAACTTCCAAAAGTGTTCAGTCACTAATAATGAAACTTTGTTTTCTCTAGCACTGGCATATAACTATTAACATAATGTCAATGTTACATTATAAGCATTGCTTTCAGTGTGATAAAGCCATGATTAAAGCCTGCTTCATCAAAGAAGTGAGACAATATCATTTCCCAGATTGAATTGCCCAGTCAAATATGCCTCTATAAATTGCTGACATCAGTTAGGTTGTGAACTTTAGTTTAGCTGATGCCAACTCTGAGCACTTACCATTAACTTTCCATTCTTTGTAATGAGATGGTAGCTTGACAATGAGATTTTCTCAATTTCTGAAGATTTCATTGCCCATTTTATTGAAGAAAACAAAAAGTAAATACTGTGGGAGAATGAAAATTCAAGATTTGGGAAAACTCAAGGCTTTTTTAAGGCGAAGAAAGTTCTTAAAAACTCGTAGAATAGGCCCTTTGCAGCTAGGCCATCACGTGACCTATTTTTCATAAAATTATGGGCTATAACTTAACAAATGCCAGAAATGGATAAAGCACGTCGAAAATATCAAAATGGCCAAGTTTGAGACCCCCATCATTAAAGAATGAGATTTTATGACAGTCTGAATTTTCAAAAGAATAAGATTTGTAAGGAAAAAGTTGTTGGAGAGCAAGACCTTGCTCTCCAGCAACATTCTCCATATAAATCCTCTAAATTATCCTAAAATTCAAATGGTGGTATAAACTTACTCTTTAATGCCAGGGACTTCAAACTTGGCCATTTTGGTATTTTCGATGCGCTCTTTCCATTTCTGGCATTCTTCAAGTTATAGCCCATAATATAAAAATTTTTTAGGAAAAATTTGGTCATGTGACCCCAGCTGCAAAGGGCCTATTAGAGGTCCAAGTGCTGGATGGATTATTACAGAAGTTTTTTTGATGTCTGTGGAGAAATAATGTTATGAACAATTATCTAATACATGCTGCAAGCTTCAAAAGATATCTGAAGAAGAAATTCTAGGGGTATTCTTTGGCAATATTTTGCTTGTAATTTTTACCTGAATACCTGATAATTCCCCTGATCAGGTGAACAAGATGCTGTGACGATATGTCAATTGTCTAGATCAGCCAATCAGCATTAAGTTGGACCATGTACGCAAGTTGTTGTTTGTGTTACATCATGGCCGAGTAGCATTGCTTCGTTCTCAGAATAAAGTTCTGTTGAGTTTACTGTTTATCAGTTTATCGAGCCTGATTTATACATGGTGTCAGAAGTAAACAGCCCAAGTAGCCACTGGTAAAGATGATCTTTGTTTCATTTAGGCGACGTGCAACTCAATACGTTCAGCGAAGACTTGAAAGCAGACAAGTGTAGTCAAAATGCCAGCCAACAGTGAAAATGCTACTCTGCCATCGACAAGCAGCACGAGCACTACTACATTCTTGTGTAACATTTCTCTACCTCCGAAAATAGAGATACACTGTGAAAATCTCTCCAAAGAATGGAAACAGTGGCGACAGGTATGGGATGCCTATGAAGAGGTCACCGAATTGCAAAACAAAACAAGCCACCTTCATGTAGCCACGTTTATTACTTGTATTGGCAAGGAGGCTCTCGAAGTCCACAATGGCCTTCCGTTTCAAAGCGATGAATAAAAAGCAGACATAAACAAAGTGCTGGAGTTATGGGCAAATGACTGCATTGGGAAAACAAACATCATCTACGAGAGATATAAATTCGATAACCGCTCTCAGGAGCAGGCAGAATCAATCGACACTTACATCACTACACTTAGAGCGCTTGCTGAAACTTGCGAGTTTGGAACCTTGAAAGAAGACCTTATCCACAATAGAATCGTTTGTGGTATTTGTGATAATGGCATACAAATAAAACTACTTCAAGAATCTGGATTAACGCTGTTGAAATGTGTTGACATCTGTCGGGCAAATGAGGCTACAGCAGCACAGCTGAAAGACATGGCGGCGAGCCAAACTACCGAACAAGAAGCGAACGCGGTCAACCAGAAAGAAAGTTCCAAGAAGCTGAAGGCACCCAAAGAAAATGGTAAAGATCCAAAAGATCAGCTAAGCACCAAATGCAAATACTGTGGTAATAAGCATGAGTGGAAAAGAGACAAATGCCCTGCATATGGAAAAACATGCTCTTCGTGTGGAAAAGCCAACCATTTTGCAGCAAAGTGTTCCAAGAATTCCCACAAATCTAAGAAGAAGCGTTCTCAGAAGTTTAAATGCAAGAAAGTGAACCAGCTCAATGACATCACACCTTATTCTTCAGAAGAAGAGATCTTGTCTGTGTCTTTGGACCACACCGTCAACGCCGTGGATATGTCAAAGTTCAAGAACAAAATTTTCGCCCACATGGAGATTGCAAGTGAGTTAGTGAAGATGCAAGTCGATTCAGGAGCTTCATGCAATGTGCTACCCTGTAAGTTTCTTTCAAGGGACAGCAACACTGAGAAGACCAGTTTGAAGTTAACCATGTGTTCTAAAACAAATTTGAAGGTGCTGGGCGTGGCGAAAATATCCCTGCGAAACCCAAAGAACAAGAAAAAGTATCGTGCTGAATTTGCAATCATTGACAAAGATTACACTCCCCTTCTTGGCTCTTCAGCAGCACAACAAATGGGACTAACAACTGTCCAACAGGAAAACATCTTGCAAGTCAAGGAAAGTTATCAGGAACTTAGTATGGAGAGAATCACTGCGACTTACCCTAATGTCTTTCAAGGTCTGGGTTGTATGGAAGGAGCTCTTCACCTAGAAGTTGATAAGAGTGCTTCGCCTTCAGTCATGCCTCCCTGTCACGTGCCTCTCACCTTGAAAGAAAGGCTGAAAGAAGAGCTAGCCCGCTTAGAAGCTAATGTGATAAAGAGAGAAGAAGAACCAACGGACTGGGTATCTAGCCTTGTTGTAACAGAAGAGTGTGCATCGACCCTCAGCATCTTAATAAAGCCCTTAAGAGAAACCACTATCTGCTACCAGTAATCGAGGACATACTCCAGAACTAGCTGATGTCAAGGTATTCTCAAAAGCAGATGAGGAATCCAGTAAGCTAACAACGTTCCAGAACTCCTTGTGCAGGTACAGATATCTACGGATGCCCTTTGGAATCTCCCCTGCTCCAGAATGTTTTCATAGGAAGTTGGACCAAAATCTTGAAGGTCTTGAAGGGATCTACAAGGTAGCAGATGACATCTTAATTACCGGCCGTGGCACAAGCAAGGAAGAAGCTGTGAAAAACAATGATGCCAATTTACTGAAGCTGTTAGATAGATGCCGGGAGAGGAATTTGAAGCTAAACTGAGAGAAACTACAGCTGAAATGTACAGAGACCCCCTTTATTGGCCATGTACTGATGCCTGAAGGAATCAAGCCTGACCCTAGAAAGATAGAAGCTGTACTTAAGATGGAAAGACCCAGTAATGTGGCAGCAGTCTGAAGACTGATAGGCTTAGTCAACTACTTGGCAAAGTTTCTCAGCAAACTTTCTAAGCTGTGTGAACCACTAAGACGACTCACCCACAAGGGAGTCGAGTGGAGCTGGTCAAATGAGCAAGAGAAAGCCTTTGAAAGCGTGAAGCAAGCTGCTACTTCAGCTCCAATTCTGCAATATTTCAATTCCAGTGAACCTGTCGAAGGCCAAGGAGATGCTTCTGCCAGTGGTATAGGATTTGTGCTTATGCAGAATGGTCAGCCAATATCCTATTCAAGTAGAGCCCTCACCACAAGTGAAAGGAACTATTCTCAAATTGAGAAAGAACTGTTGGCCCAAGTCTTTGGTGTTGAACGTAATAATCAGTATGTTTATGGCCGGAAAGTGCTGTGGTCAGACCATAAGCCCTTGGAAACTATATCTAAGAAGCCCTTAGCAACAGCCCCTAAACGCCTGCAGAGGTCGGTTCTACGATTACAGCAATATGATGTTGAGATACGTTACAAACCTGGTCCTGAAATGTATCTGGCAGTCACATTGTCACATGCCCATCTGCCCGCTCTCCAGCTGAAGAAGAGACGGAACGAATCCATGCAGTTGATTTCTTACCCATTTTAAAACCCCAGTTGGCTGAGATCCAGTGTGAAACTGCAGCAGACTCAGTACTACAGTACCATATTCAAGTAATATTGCAAGGCTGGCCAGATCAGAGAGAAGCCCTACCCTCAGAATTACATCCCTACTTCACTGTGGGAGATGAACTTACTGCACAGGATGGAATCCTCTTAAAACGTTTAAGATGTGTAATCCCTGCCAGCCTGAGGCCCAAGATATGCGAACGACTCCATGGTGCCCACACAGGAGTTGAAGGCTGCCTTTGACGTGGGCGTGAAACAGTTTATTGGCCTGGCATAAATGCTGACCTTCGTGACTACATAGTAAAGTGTGGTGTGTGTGCTACTTACCAGAAAGATCAGCAGAAGGAACCACTTATCTCTCACAAAATTCCAGACCGTCCGTGGGAAAGAGTTGGATGTGATATCTTCCATTTTGAAGACAGAGACTACCTCTGCACAGCAGATTACTATTCCAGCTACTTTGAAATCAATCAACTTAAGGACAAGATTGGCAATGAAGTGATCGGAACCCTGAAGAGACACTTCTCCACACATGGAATCTCCAACAAGCTACAGAGTGATAATGGTCCTCCCTATAGTTCCCATGAGTTCCAACAGTTTATGACAAGCTATGACATAGAACATGTTATTAGCTCTCCACATTACCCATGAAGTAATGGCAAGGTAGAAAATGCTATCAAGTCAGCTAAGAATCTGCTAAAGAAATCCAAGGCAGCTGGAACAGAATTCTACCTAGCTCTATTAGCATGGAGAAATACACCCTCTGAAGGCCTAGAAAGTTCTCCAGCTCAAAGAATGTTTGGTTGCCGCACTACGACACTGATTCCTACGACCAGTGAGATCCTCAAACCCAAAATAGT